TCGTCGATGATGCTAAATGAGATAGATATCTGAGGAAGAAGAAGAGCATTGACAATCCAGAAAAGTAGCAAGAGGTTTGATGGTCTACCATAATAATTTTAAGCTTCAAATATGAGCAAACCAATTTGCCTGTCTAGAAAATCCGATCGCTAACAACATCATACAAAAAATACAAATCTTAAAACGGATAGTGGATACTAACTTCAGAGTAACAAATGTTAGATTTTAGAAACCATAGTTTCACATCATCTACCATGCCTTGGGGACGCATCAGCAGAGCGGGATCGAGACCCCGAAGGTGATCTTGATGTTCTATCAGGAGAAGGCCTCCAATTAGCTCGTGCATCCTCCCCTTCAAATGCAGGCTTGCTAAAGCAGAGAAAAGGGATTGACGAATAAATACGACATAGCAGAACACATTTCTAAACAAGCTTAGTAAACAAAGATGATAAGCTTAAGATTAAACAAAATGAAAGAGAGCATTCTCAACCATAAGACTACCGTTATCAATAAATCATTCAACTTACTCATGATATCCATTTCCATTTCCATCGACATCAGGACCATCAGCATTATCATAACCTGGAGAATATACTTGTCGACTCCTCTCACCATCTCGCTCACGAGCAGCACCTCTCGGCGATCTGGGGTAATCTGCATGCCTTCTACTAGGGGAAACAGAATAGTCGCCTCGCCATCTTGGAGCAGGAGAATAGGATCTGACAATTCCATATGGCATACTTACTACTACCTAAAGCATTCACAAAACATGAGCCATGTGTTTTAAATAGATTACCTTGATCGGTGTCTACTTCTTGAACCTGAAGGATGACGGGGGGAGCGTGATCTGGATACTGAACGAGATCTAGAACGCCCTATATTGTCCAAAAAGTTATTGAAGTGATCAATTACTGTCTGAAACCATGTTGAACCAATTGAATACAGTAGTCCAACATGGACTTATTTTGTCTAGTAAAACAGTTAATGATAGATTTGTTTCCAAACTTCAGTATGTGCTTGAAATTTAGGAACAAATTGCAACCTATAATTCCACGAACACATAAATGATCAGAGGAGGAACAAATCGAAACCCACTTAAGGGATATTATAAGACCACTTAACTTAGGCTTAGAGCTATAATAAGCTAGATTGAATTTGAATATAAGAGATATTCTTACTTTTTTTGTTGGGGTTTTTACTTAACTACAAAGATTATATAAAAGGTGCATAAAATTTGAAAAGAGATTACTTGTACCCATACCATAATAAGAACGGCGTCCACCATAGTCTGATGGTCCCCTACAAAAAGGAAAAAAAAAACAGTAAAACACATGTAACTTGCGACTAAATAAACATCATAAAAGGCTGTTAGCCATTGAACACAGCGAATGGAAAGAGCAAGAGATTTTAATTGCCTTCCACCCCCTGATAAGGTAGATTGCTTGCTACCAGGTCAGTTACAATGCAGAAAAATGTGAGATTTTTTTCCAGATGAACAAGAATCTATATACTTCAAGCAAACAAGCATGCAACTGAAACTTGGAAGTAGATGCAAGGGAGCCTGCATTGTAAATATGCAGTCCCTTGAAACCATTATGAAAGAGAGGAACAAGGGAACAAACAGACTACCTTCTACTCCTTTGGCGCATCTGTTCTGGCCTCTTCCTTGATTCTGCAGCAAGAACCACAGCAATCTCCCTACCAGCAAATTTCTTCCCATTCATATGGTACTGAGCTTCAGAAGCCTCGTAAGGATCAACAAACTCCACAAATGCAAATCCTCGAGGCTGACTACAAGGAATTCAAAAAAAAAAAAAAAAAAAGTGATAAAAGTAAGAAACCCGTTCTGGGCAAAAATATTAAGTCACTAGATAGAATGTTACATTAATATACTTTATCAACGCTAAAAGGATTCGGGATGCCACAAACTAAATAGCTTTCTTTTCATTTCCAATATTAACTTCAGACTGCTTTCTTCAAAGCTGAGGCTGGAGTTATATAAAGCACAGCTAATGTCAAAGTTCAGTAGCTAACCTTATCTTTACAATCAAGCATGAAAGAGGCAAGTGACTGAAAAATCTTCATATTCTTGTAACTATAAGCACTTCAATTCAATGTAACTTGACTTGAAAAATCTTCAAATTTCTTGATATAAGTAACCAACAATTCATGGGTTGAAGATTCTTCACATACTCGGAACACATGAAGCACTTGAACAAACATCTCACAACCTTAAACCTTCACCTTGTAGGCTTCAATTGCTCAATAGGCTACCTTCTTCCTCGTCAAATTCACATTTCTTGATATAAGTACTTGAAACTACCAATTCATGAGTAGAAAATTCTTCAAACACTTGGAACATGAAGCACTTCAACAAAAATTCCACAACCGTAAAACCTTCACCTTGTTGGCTTCAATTGCTCAAGAATCTACCATCCTCCTCATCAACTTCTATTGATGGGTGTCATAATCTAATATTTCCTCAGCGAGAGACACCCTCATTTCAATATTATACCTTACATTCTTGATGAGCTATATGTTAGGCAGAGAAAAGTAGTAGACCCTCATTTATAGGGGCTTGGGCTTGCTTAACTTCAAAGTTCAAACCAATATGCCCCCTGACAAAGCAGTTCAAATTTTAACACACTATGGAATGGGAATAAGATCTATCCAGAAAAATACGGTCCGGTGAAATTTCATTTGACATTTTTCATCCTCTTCAGCCCCTAACTATCAAACTCAACCGCATGTTCCATATGATCTAGAAATTGTCTCTAACAAATTAAAACTCAGTGCACAAATATACACCCTCAAGAATTGATCAAGTTCAAAAATAGTTGGAAAAAAGTCCCCCGAAATTTGCTTAAGAGTTTATTTCATCTTACATATGTAGACACATAAAAAACCAAAGAAGAAAAAAAAAAAAGTTAGACATTGTTCGGAAAATAGAATCTTAAAATGAAAATAAGAAAAGCTTTAGACTATGATCATGATTGGTCTAAATAAGAAGCTTAACACACATGGCTGAGAGCATCAAACAAGAGAAAGAAATCAGGCTCAATTTCTGATGCAAAAAGCTTGGCTTAATGCTTAACCAGCAAAAGTCAAATGACCAACCGAACCCTGTTAGAGGTTAACTTGATTAAATCCAGAAGTCCAGACAATAACCATATAAAGACATATCATTATCAAACTAACTCACAAGAAATATAAAAGTAAACATTCAGGAAACAGGCTGAATAACAGCTTAATAAAACCAACCATATACCATGGTTGGAGTGGTGTGAAAAATAAATAAGAATAATAAACTCAAGACACTTACCCTGTGTAATAGTCCTTTGGAATATACACATCGCGAACAAGTCCAAACCTCTCAAATGGCGCTCTAAGCTCCTCTGGCCTAAAAGTACAAATAAAACCAGAAGCCAAGTTCTTAAAATGCAGCGACAGAAAACAACAAATTCATAAATTAGAATAGTAGAACTGAAACCTAAATTGGACAAAGCAATATGGTAGCTGAAAAAAAGTGGTCAAATCCTGACCTGCAATCCATAGGAATATTTCTAACCAAAAGGCTACCATGAGGCTGTTCCCTTCGTCTTCCATACCCACCACCACCACCACCACCACCACCACCACCCCCATAACCCCTTCCTGGGGGGCTTCTTCCACGACCACCATATCCTCTTCTTGGAGGGCTATGATATGGTGGGCTGTATCTTCTCATGTTTCGACCTGGCCAAAACAATTACCAGGCGAGGACTGCAATTAAGATGCATGTTGTCGAAACTTCCTATCTATTCAAACTAATTACTATCTAATAGAAAAATAACAAAACTAGGAATGGTAGTTAATCCAATGAAACCCACACATCATCCTAAACTGAAAACGGACTTCTGACTGATAAACCCTAAACTACACTTCACAGGCTTAGGATTCCCGATTCGACTGTTAAACCTCTCGAGTGCCCGTCCAGATGCATATTAATATGTTGAAGATCATAAACCCACACGAGAAAAGGCAAAAGAAAGTAACCTAGTAAATTAAAAGGGAATCGAAAGGGCTCGACGAAAAGGCTCCTCTTCAGTTCTCCCAAATTTTTACTTGATGAAACGCAAACAGATAACTCAAACCATGAGTAAGACTAAACAGCTAATCCCGAATGATCAAAACAAAGAAAGTGGCGATGAACAACTATAGGCAGACTTCGTGCGGGTTCGGATTCGATCGAGAAATAATTATAAGTTTTCCTCAATACATCGATTACAAAAAAGTGAAACCAGAAATTGAAAGTGTAAAATTACCTGAAGAAAAGAGCGGGAAGACAAGAAAATGCGCAGAGAGATTTTTCCCTCGATCTGATTCCTGATACTCCTGAGCAGGAAAACTACTGCGGTAGGGTTTAGATTTTTATAACTGTATTTCGTTCAAATGCGAGTTTTTTACAATAAAGTTTTGTCCTAAAAAAATGTTATTGGTTGTATTAAAAATATATAAAATAAAAAAAATCCAATAATCATAAATTTTAAATATATATTGACTGAACACATAATTGAAAGTAAAATTTCATTCATTTCAAAGAAAACTTAATAGGCATAAAATTCTAAATGTAAATTTAATTATCAATTAATTTTTAAATATTTTCACATTTACTTAAAAATTTTAATTCTTATTTTTTTTGAAACATTCGATAATATTTCAAAACTATCATATAAATCTTTTAAAATTTCAAATGAAAAAAACTATCATATAAATCTTTTAAAATTTCAAATGAAAATTAGGGTCTTAAATATTTGGCAGTGACTTAGAACCAAGCCAGCGATCATATTACAATTTTTGAAAGAACGAGTATTATTTTTTTTTCTTTTTGTTAAAACAAACGAAAAAACTCAGGGATTAAAATTAGCCTACTTTCCATAAGTCAAAACATAATAATCTCACCATCATTCAGACATTGTAAAGCTCACTCGTTTTCTTGTTTCAGTTTCCAAAATGTAGCTACTATAAATAAATGACATCTTATTGAACCAAAATATATTCTATGAATAAACAGGGAGTAGATAGCCTTACACAAATAAGAAGTTCAAAAAGGAAATATGCAACGAAATCATTTACCAAGCAGAATTCCAGGCAGTGGATAAGCAGGTAAACACGTGCCTCTTTCAGATTTGTCGCTCTCTTTCTTAGAGACTACTGATTTAGATTTAGAAGCCAAGCCACCATTGGTATACCCCTAATAGATTACTTTCATAAATGCACCATCCGGACCTGGATATGCTGCCTGCCTCCATCCTTCATATCCATCTCTATCAAGCTTTCCTTGAGGTGCCTTCGCCCCACAAAAAAATTGGTTCTTCCAGCCTTTAGGTGTATAGAGAAGGATCGGGTCGGGTATATGCAACATAGCAAACGACTGGGAACTTTTACATCAACATGCAACAGCTACAGCTGATTCAGACTGGCTACTGTCGGTGTCGGCGAGCAAAGGGTTCTTTTGAAATTGGTTTCTTAGCTGACCACAAGCTGCATTGGCATCCAAGCCTCTGGTTTGACGAACGCTTACAGTGATTTTGTGAGACTCTAGAGCAGCTACAAAAGCCATCACCTGAAAATAGAAGAAAAGATTATGGATCAGTGAGGACATGAATATATACATTTTCTTATTGATATATGATGGAAAATAGCGCATCGGTCCAGAACATACTGCTTTCTTGTATGGACGCTGATACTCGGAGCCTTCTATGGGATTGAAAGGTATCAGGTTCACGTGATAGCCACCTCCCCATTCACGAAGAAGCTTTGCAAGTTCTACAGCATGCTCTACTGCATCATTGACTCCAGCTGTTCAAATGATAAGCAACCAAAAAATTGGGGGGAGACAATTTGTCAGATGTACGATGCCAGAATCTACGATGAGGAACACAATGAACGAAGTGGTTCCAGTACCTAAAAGGGCGTACTCGAAGGATACTCTCCGACTAGTTTGGAGGAAATAATCACGACAATCTTTCATAATTGCTTCTAGAGGATATGCTTTTGCACTGGGCACAATAGTCTCCCGAAGCTTCTGGTTTGGTGCATGTAAGCTACAATGAAGAGTTAATCGAAGTAGGATTAAAACGAAAGACAAAATCTAAGGACCTCGTCCTACAAATGCCCATGAATCATCTCTTCATAGCAACTTAACACTTCGTGGATAAACACTATCAAAGCTAACCTTTGGAACTTATGGATTGGGAGGGGAAAGAACTTTGAGGTGCTAGATAGAACTCTACAAGAACGGGTCTGCCTAGTATAATTTCTTAATGATTCTATAGTCGTTCCGTGGTTATAATTCATACCAATTGGAACAGCTTTGTGAAGGCCCTTAGGCATTTGGGAGGGATTTCTCCTCTCCCTCTTTTGCATGTGTTCTTTATTAATTAACTTTATTTCTAAAATTAATTATATAAACCTTCTAAAAAGAAAGTTAGAATCAGAGAGATATCAGTAATGGAACTCCTAAATTTGACAGATATTAATGAGACAACTGCATGAAAGCAATCCATCACTGTATACATGGACCTCTCTACTCAGATATTTGGGATGACAAAATTTTGAGTATAACATTAAACTATGCCAAAATTCTCCAATTAGTGCAGTTCTTAGATCAGGTTCAAGTAGCTATGAACTATTGAAAATGAAGGGATGACAACGTATAACCAGCCAATAAAGATTGACTGGAGAAAAAAAAATCCTACACTTTTAAAACGTACATATTATTATCTATCAAAGTATATGCCATACGGAAACAGACAAACTTTTCCCTTGGAAAATATCACTGGCAATAGTTATCTCTTTAAGAAACAAAATCAAACATTCTAGAAGAATGATTTTCCTGCAGAATATATGTTACCTGACGGCCAATGTTGACTGAAGTTTGTGAGACGCCAGCCTTTTAATTGTGTTAGGAACGCCCACAGTAGAAATTGTAATCATTCTTTGTCCAATTTGAACATCCTTGGAAAAATATAAAAAATTCATGAGAAATTGCACACTCAGCAACGTAAAAAATAGCATCTAATAAAGCTGGCGGAACATTAAAGCCAACCTTCCCAAGTTCCCTCAACAGTTGGATGTGATCAAATTTTATAATTTATAAAGAATATTGATAAGGAACCTATAACTCAAAGTGGACATGCAGGACACTGATAGAGCCTCGAAACTCTAGGGGATTGCTTGGGAAGGATCTAAGAGCTATTATGCTTACGTGCACTGAACAAAAAGCTTTGAAAGTATGGATACAAAAAATCAAGATAGGTTTATGTTTGGTCTCTCCCCCTGGGCCGTCTAGATAATCGGGATAAAAGCCAAGCTATGCCTCCTAATGTCTCCTTAATCTCCTGGCATAGAAGGGGATGACTCAATAGAATACATGTATCTTACAATCCAATTGAATCTAAGAATTCTTCTTCAAGAAATCCATACTTTTGTTGTGTCATCTAGCTCTTTCGATTGGTCGCTTCTAGATAAGTGAAGCACAAATACCCTTTCAAAAGCAAATTAAATATCCTGTGCTTCAATGCTATTAGAATTTTTATGAGGCATTGGTTAGAAAGGAGTAAAAAACTGTTTCATGGGGTGCCAGGTGAAAAAATTTACAGGGCAGTTCTTGAAGAATGTTGTTTTTCTTCACCTCTCAAAGTTCTCTCGTGAGGTTTCTCATAATTACATACGACTTTTACAAAATTGGGAGGATTCTTGTAATGCAGTGTGCTCTGGAGATCCTTCCCCTGTATATTTCACTCTCAATGAAAGTTTTTACTAGAGTGTGAAGACGCAGGCCTCCAAGTCCACTCCAGCTTCCCAGATTTACTTCTCTTAATAGTCTGGACCATTAAAACAACCTAATCGAATTTTACCCTTCCAAGTCCCCTCTTGCAAATATATGTAACGGGGTAAAGAACGTAAAGAAGAAAAGTTAAGGAAAAAATCAAATAGCAATCAAAAAATTATCCTAGAGTATTAGGACAAGATGAATCTAATAAAATAAACCTTGTTCAAGCATCGATGCGCTTCAAGCACTGATTTCATGTTTAACATCGGTTCGCCCATTCCCATGAATACTACATTTGTCACCCTATGGTTGAAAATTTCCTCAATTGCAAATACCTGTGCATATAGGATGCAACTAATCACAACAGGGAGGATTAATTATATGACATAATTTCATTTGTTTCAAATTTCGGAAACAAAAAGATATCAGAACAGTAACAGTTCGTAATGGGACATGAAGCAGCATTTGAGAGAGACAAAATACCTGCTCGACAATTTCATGTCTTTGAAGATTCCTAGAAAACCCTCCTTTTCCAGTGGCACAAAAAGAACAGCGCAGTGGGCAGCCAACCTTAATGTTTGAGAGTCAGTAGAGAAAGACTACTTGACAAATTATAATAGAAAATATGCTGACAAACATGTAAATCACAAAATTCATGTCTCTGAATGACCAAATATGAATATTACCTGTGATGAGATGCAAGCAGTAAGGCGAACTGACCCTTTACTGTTTTTGTCTTCCACAGGTATGCCAACTGTTTCAATCAGCCTATTGTCATCCAACTTAAGCAATAACTGCAAAATTTAGAAAAATTCGATGCTTAAAGTCAGAAGAACATGCAATAAAAACATCCAACCATTACTTAACCTGATGAAATTTCAACAATTCAACAAGAATGCAATCAGAAAATTGTATATATCAAACTACCTTCACGGTCCCATCGGACGCAGTAACAGACTGGTAAACAGGCGAACGGCCGACTCTCCATCCAGCTTCCTGAAGACCATTCCTGAATGCCAGTGGCACTGCAATCAACCCGAATCACTATGATAAGATAATGAGCAAACCGGCGAAATCAAGCAAATAAGAAGGAAGAATACTGACAGTTGGTAAACTCTTCGACTTCCTTGACCTTCCTCTTGTAAATAAGCTGGTGGAGCTGCTTCCCTCTATACTTCTCCTAATCCATCTCAAACAGAAAATTTTAACGATACAAAGGAAAAAACCTCCATCAAATGCAAGCAATTCACAACAGGCGTTTAGAGTGTAACATAGTGAATTTTGTTTGATACCTGGCCCAAGTCTACGGCCAACTGTTGGAGCTCCTCCTCCGACAAGCCAATGAGCACTTTTGGAGATTCGGGAGAAGCCCGTGCGGGAGGGGATATGGAGGTGGAGGACTTCCGAGAGGGCACGGCAGCGACGCAGCGAGGGCGTAATGCACGTGCGACGGACGGCGAGCAGACTTGGTGAATGAGCGCCATTGAAATGGTGATCATCGTTGAGAAGAAGCTCTTGAGATTGCTTGGAGACCAGAGGCTAAAACCCTATCCGGAACTGTTCTTTTTTTCGGAGGGTTTTTTGTTACTCACATTCGATCTGGCGGTACTTTTTTTTTTTTTTTTTTTTTTTTTGGCAAAATTAATAAATAATAATAACAAAAATCCTTTAACTTAAAATATATATATATTTAAAATATTTGTTAAGTTTTAAAAAAGTAAAAATTTAAAAACATTAACTTTAATTAATATAGAAACAATATTAAATTGATAAACGTAGATAAATAGATTATTTTAAAAATTCTTTTACTATTTTTAATAGTTATAAGTATTTTTTAAAACCTTAAAAAATAATTAAAATTTTGAAAGTTTATAAACATTTTTTTAACTCAAAAAAGTTAAAACGTTACAAGTTTGAGAATATTTTAAAAAATTTACAGACATTTTATAACTTTTTTATCACAGTCAGCATATGAAACATATACTCAAAATTTTGTTCTTATTTTTCATTAAAATATTTTATAAATTTGAAAAAAAAACATTAAAAAAGTTTGGAAATATATTCAAGAAAGTAATGTTATAACGAACAAATAAACAATAACCATAACTTTCAGAGTATAATTTGAAATAATCGACAACTAGTCACATCTCTAATAATATATTTTTTTAATTATTTTAACTTAAGAAAATGTTATTTGGGCGAATGACCATACACCTTCAAATTTGACATAACAAGAATAATAAATACCTAACTAACATGGAAACCAGTAAAAATAATTTGAAACAAACATACAGTCATAAGTAGCACGCATCGAATAAACATGACCGTGACATCCGACACATGACCACAAAAAAGAAAGGAATAATATTTAGTTCAATAACACAGGTAGACTAATAAATTAACTCAATAAATTAAAGAAATACAAACAAAACAAGGTCACACAAACACATAAAATGGTAGGATTTAACTTTACAATTTGATCTTAAAAATGTCGAAAACAGACAAAAAAAAAAAAAAAGAAAAAATTATCGGCAACTTTTTAATCATTTTAATCAAATGGTGACTTTTAGTTTACTTCAAGTATATTTTTTGGGTAGTTTTTTAAACATTTTTCCCCTAGATCTTCATGAAATTGTAGTTTCTATAAAAAATTTATGAGAATTTATTTAAAACTTATAAATACATTTAGTCGCTAAAAAATTAATTAATTGATAATATAAAAAAAATTAATTAACAATTTTAAGAACGATGAATAAGATAAAAAAAAAATATAATGTGGAATATAATAAAACATTAGTTATTATTTAAAAAGAAAAGAAACAAAAAAGAAAAACCTGCCCTTCCGGTATCTTGTCGCTACGTATTTACGGCTCAGCATTGGCTGTTATTTTTTTCCCCCAATCCCACTTCAGTCAAAAAAAACACGACGGTTCAATTCCCACTCACACCCTAACTCACGCGTATAAGGAGGGGTAAATCCGTAAAACCAACGTATTCCTTCCGGGCCGTCGGGAAATTCCGGTTCAGCCTCTGCGTGCTGCCCACATTTTCTGACATTTCATCATTAAATTTATTTCTCCATCAAAATATATCATTAATAAATCGTTTATTATTTAGGTAATAATTAATAATTACATTTATAATTTTTAAAATTAGTCGTAACTATTGTTGTTATAAATTAAAACTTTAATTAATTTCTATTGTCAAAGGCAAAACATGATTTACCTAAAATAATAATCAAGGCTAAAATTCAGCTCAGCCACGAGGAGGAAAGCCAAAAAAAAAAAAGGTACGGCCGTTATCTTCGGATCTTACCCTCACCCGCTGTCATCTTTTTTTACTCAACACCATCAATTTTCCACCTCAGATTTAATGACCTGGCAATATCTCATTGGTCCGTCTCATCAAGCCTGACAACCACTGGTTACCTCCACCACCTTCGTAACGCTTTCTCTTTTTCCGTGTTCGTATCGCTATATAAATATGCTCCACTTTCCGATGTTTCAGAATCGGTCTCAGTAATCCTCTCTTCTCCCCACTCCCATTAATCCACCCTCGTCCCACCATGTCCGCCGCCGCATTCCACCGTCTCTTCGCGGCGCTTCTTATCCTTCTCCAAATCTCCACCGCCGCCGTAGCCATCGGTGTCAACTACGGCACTTTGGCAAACAACCTCCGGCCGCCGGCGGAGGTGGTGAACTTCATAAAAACAAAAACCAAAATCGACCGCGTGAAGATCTTCGATACGAATCCGGATATCCTGCGAGCCTTCGCCGGCACCGGAATTCTGGTGACGGTGACAGTCGGCAACGGCGAGATCCCCGCCCTGACGGATCTGGCCACCGCTCGCCAGTGGGTCGCTGCCCATATTCGGCCGTTTCATCCTCAGACGCGGATTAATTACATTGCAGTGGGGAATGAAATCATCCACACTAATGATAAGCCCCTGATCGCTCGTCTTGTTCCCGCCATGAAATCGCTCCACCGAGCTCTGGTTCTCGCCGGAATTACGGACATTAAGGTAATGATGCTGATTTATTGTACTTAATTTTCTTTTAACCCGGTGATGGAAAAAAAAAAAAAAAAAAGCCATTTTAAAGCTGTTAGGTTATGATGACTTTTTTTTTTTTTTTTTTTTTGGTGATTTTAATTCTTAAATTAATTTTAACTATGGATTTTAAATGACTTTTTATTTTCTTTTGCGAATATTTAAAATTTTAATTACATTTCTTTCACATATTCCTAATTCTAAATTAGGTATGCTAACTCTAAAAATCGTAAGTAATCAGAGCTTAACTTAATAATTAACATACATTTCAATTTTGGTAGGTATTATAGACTTTTCACTTTGTTTTTTCAAATGCCATTACATTTGACTTAATTTTAATTATATTATTTTCTAAAATTTATCAAAACTTACAAAATGGTTAATTATTAAAAACTTTGATAAACAATTATTTGTAAAAAAAAGTAATAACAATGATAAAGCAAGAATTAAAATAATTATATATATAAAAAAACAAACGAAAATATTTAAAGAAGGTAAAGTATAAATGCGTTGTCAAATTATAAAACGGCATCGTTTGGAGCTTTTGTAGGTGACATCCCCACATTCGTTAGCCATCCTCTCAATCTCGGAGCCACCAAGCATGGGGCGGTTCAGGCGAGGGTACGACCGAGCCATCTTCGGACCAATGCTCCAATTCCTGCGAGAAACCAAGGCCCCATTCATGGTGAACCCATATCCCTACTTCGGCTACTCACCCAACATGGCTAATTACGCCTTATTCGGACCAAACCGTGGCGTTTACGACAAGTACACTAAAATCACCTACACCAACATGTTCGACGCCATGATGGACGCACTCTATTCCGCCATGAAGAACATCGGTTACTCCGACGTCGATTTGGTCATCGGCGAAACTGGCTGGCCTTCCAATTGCGACGGCTATGTCGCTTGTAGCCCCGGCAACGCTGCTACTTTCCACAGGAACTTGGTTTGGCATGTCAATTCCGGGAAAGGAACTCCGTTGATGCCCAACAGGAAATTCGAGACCTATTTGTTTGCTCTGTTCAATGAAAATCTTAAACCCGGTCCGACCGCTGAGCGGAATTGGGGTCTGTTTCACCCGGATTTTACTCCGGTTTATGATGTTCCCAACATCATGATCGGTGGACGGGTTAGTCTCTATACTTCTATTTCATTTTAAATTACAACATAACTACTACTAATCAGATCGGATTGTAAATTACAGCACCGTGGTGGTCGGGGAGGTAGACCCAAACCGGTGGCGCCGTCGGGGAAGAAATGGTGCGTTCCCAAATCCGACGCATCCGTCCAAGCCTTACAGAAGAACATCGACTACGTTTGCAGCTCGAACATCGACTGCCGTCCAATCCAAGCCGGCGGCGCGTGTTTTCTACCGAATGATATCCGAGCCCACGCCTCTTACGCCATGAATTCCTATTATCAGACCTCCGGTCGCAACGATTTCAACTGCGATTTCAGTCTCACCGGCGTTATAACCACCGTCAATCCAAGTAACTGCGCTTCCTAATTTTCTTCCTTACACTTTCTAATCCAATTAACTGTGCTAACAGTGGTGGTTATCTGATGCAGGTCACGGCGGCTGTGTGTACATTTCTTGAGTGATCGAGCCCCAGAGGCGGACGAGGGATTTCGGTTGCATACGGGGCGGACGTATGAGAGGAATCAGTGAGACCACATAAAGCTGCATACACTTTTTTTTTTTTTTCGCTTTTTCTTTTATTTTCCTTTTATTGTAATTAATTGTATTCTTAAGAACAACTATCTGTCTCAAATGTGTTCATCTTAATATATTGTTCGATTTTAATCTTTGATTTTTTCGTCAAGAATGTGATACAGTGAGTCAGAAAGAGAACAACATGAGAATTTATGAGAATTTTTTTGGAGAAGTACAAGGATGTTTCATTTTGTATGTTAATAGAAAATACATTTTAAAGACATTTTTTAGAACATCATTCAAAATATAAAATTATTAAATCACATTGTTTTTACAATAATATATAATATAATTTTTTTAAAATTATTTTATAAAAAAATTTATCAAATATTAATAATTTAAATTTCATAAAGTTAAAATATCAAATATTTACAAGTAACATAAATTATAAATTTTTAATATTTTAATTATTTTAAAAATAGGGGTATAATTGGGTTTAGGGTTATAATTTTGTTTTATGGGTAGGTCGGGTTGATAAAAAAAAAAAAAAATTAATACAACTGCTAAAATAGTTAAACCAAAATTATATTTGCCTTTATTATAAAAAATAAAATGGAGAAGAAAATTTCTATCCATACTTGGGATGGGATCTTCTTTGCCACACACCACGATAAACAATAAAATTAAAAGGAATAAAAAAATGTATTTTTGTGAAATAAATATAATTAATTTTCAAAGTTAAATACTCTTGGTACAAGACTTTAATGTTTTTGTTTATTATTTCATAAAAATAATACAAGGCTGCACATCTTCCTCCAAATCTACCTTTTTATATGATAATATCCAGTACATAAAAAAAAATAATAATAATTATTGCGAAATATAAATTTTGT